TGCAAAGCAAACAGTTTTGACCTGCTATGATAAACATTCTTAAATAATATTTTCTGTCATATACTGAGACTTTATAATTCTTTCATCATGGCACATTTTTTTAATGTGTTCCTAAAACCTGGAACCCTAAGGAATGATTTGAGCCAGAAAGAGCTGGTGGAGAGGAAAACTGTGGGGTGGGATATTTTGGTTTTCCTTGTGATTAGCAAGCAAAACTCAATTCCAAATAACTGGAAAGGGAGGGGAAACAAGAGAGAGAACATCTTCTAGTGTTAAACCTTCTATTGTTCTCTGTTCTTCTTATGTGTTTTTAAAACAAATAAACTCAACTGCTAACTATCCAGGTTCAGTTCAGTTCAATCATGTCCAACTCTTTGCAACCCCATGGACTGCAGCATACCAGGCCTCCCTGTCCTTCACCAACTCCCAGAGTTTACTCAAACTCATGTCCATTGAGCCAGTGATTACATCCAACCACCTCATCCTCTGTCATCCCTTTCTCCTTCCACCTTCAATCTTTCCCAGCATCAGGGTCTTTTCCAATGAGTCAGTTCATTGCATCAGGCACTCAAATTATTGGAGTTTCAGCTTCAGCATCAGTCCTTCCAATGAACACCCAGGACTGATCTCCTTTAGGATGGACTGGTTGCATCTCCTTGCAGTCCAAGGGACTCTCAAGAGTCTTCTCCAACACCACAGTTCAAAAGCATCAGTTCTTCAGTGCTCAGCTTTCTTTATAGTCCAACTCTCACATCCATATATGACTACTGGAAAAACCATAGCCTTGACTAGACAGACCTTTGATGGCTATTAACTTGCCAGCTTTGTTCATCTGTTAAATAATCTGTTGTGGGAAGGACAGCACCACCTCCTCATCCTTTGCACCCCCACCCCCACCCCCACTCATTCCCACTCCTGTTAGTGGGTCTCAGCGGGGCCTGACCCTGAGTATCAGGCAGCCACACACCCTGGCTCCCCCGAGGGGAGGGTGCACATAGCTGGCAGATTAGAGACCTGGTGTGGAGCACTGGCTGGGCCATCAACCAGCCTGGTGACCTTGAGCCAGATCCCCTCCTCTCTCAAGGTCCCTGTTCCCTCATCTATATCAAAACACTGAGAAGGATGCCCACCCAACTTAGGTTACTTAGGTTAACCGCCCTGCTGAGGGTTACTGTAAAGATGAAACAGAAAAAGAGCTTGAGTTAAACTGTCTTCCTAAAGATAAAAAAAGCAAAAGTAGATTTTCTGGAAAGGTCAGAGGAAGCTCCCAGGCTGTTGGGTTCTTGGGGATCCCAGGAAGAGGTTGAGGAAACTCCCAGAATCCCTCATATTCTCATAAAATTGAACTGGTTAAAGCCATTTCAGCAAATGTTACCCTGGCTGTCAGAGCACAGAAATGTTGCCCATACCTTAGAGATGTAATGAAACCAATGTCCCTTCTCAGTGCAGGGACAGGCCAGACGTTGCCTGGTATCAGAGAGACCCAAAGGACCCTATACAACTGAGTGAGTGATTCACTATTGTGTAAGAGCTCAGATAGTCAGGGCATTATCTATGTATTATTAATGCATCATTTCATATCTTAAAAACATTCCTGAGATCACACCTGAGGTCAGCTAGTCCTTGTGCTGGGAGAGAAAATATTCCAAGAATATGTTTCTCCTCACAAAAATTGCCTCCTCTAGGGGAACATACTCATGTTCCTGAACAAGCACACATACACAGCAATATGATAAAAATATGATTGCTTATCTACTTGTTCGTGGCCTCTCTCCCAACAACCATAAAAGATTCACCAGGCAGGCTTCATGTGTCTTAACAACTTCATCCCATTGCTGGGCACAAAATAGATCTGATATCTATAATATCTCTAATATTGTATCAAGTTAATGAATAAGTGGATTCATGAACAAATGAATGAATGTTAGAACAGAGATATACCAAAAATACTAAAAAGTTCAAAGAGGAAGCAACACAGAAGACCTCACTGCTGCTGCTGCTGCTAAGTCGCTTCAGTCATGTCCGACTCTCTGCAACCCCATAGACGGCAGCCCACCAGGCTCCCCCGTCTGTGGGATTCTCCAGGCAAGAACACTGGAGTGGGTTGCCATTTCCTTCTCCAATACATGAAAGTGAAAAGTGAAAGTGAAGTCGCTCATTCATGTCCAACTCTTAGAGACCCCGTGGACTGCAGCCTACCAGGCTCCTCTGGCCATGGGATTTTCCAGGCAAAAGTACTGGAGTGGGTTGCCCGTGCCTTCTCCGGAAGACCTCACAGGGAACTAATATTTGAACTAAGCCTTGAAGAGTGGAAACTATTATTGCAGGAAAGAGCCAATTCTGACTCCAGGCTGGAACTGTTTCTTGTTATCAGAACTGTTTGACTTGCTTTGCATTGCTTTTGTTATTATAATCATGCATGATGTCCTGCCTCAAAAAATCCTGCCCCTCTGCCTGACTGTTAAACTAAAGTGTCTTTGTTCAGGACCCTGTCCACCTGTGGATGTCAGGAAGGAAGAATTATCACATCCCCTGTCCTAGGGCTACCATTCTAAAAGATATTTGCAAAATTAATGGCCTTTTAACTTTGTTTCCTCACTGCCCCCCGTCTCTGTTCTATAAAAGAAACTGGCATCCAGACTGCAATAAGATGGTTATTTTGAGACACTATCTGCCATCTTCTTGGCAGTAAGCTCTCCAGATGAAGTATTCCTTGCCTCAACACCTAGTCTCTGATTCACTGGCCTGTCTTGCAGCAAGCAGGGAGAATGTGGGGGGCCTGGTCAGAGAGCAGGGGTGGCAGGAAATAAGAATACAAATAATACAAATTGTATCCAAGGCCCCTGGAGCAGGGATCTGGTAAAGACTGTGGACTCTGTCCTGCAGAAATGGAGGAGGGGTGGGGATTTCAAGTAAAGAGGAGACTCGGTTATATTCTGCCAGTTAAAAAGATGGCTGTTCTCATTGCAGTTTGGTGGGTGGATTGGAGCCCAGGAAGCCAGGGGACTGACATCAGAGTCCAGGCTGGAGAGAATGAAGGCAGAGCTAAGACTAGGTGTCATTTAAAGGATTGAAGAGAGATGTTTGGGACTCAGTTTCTAGGATCTGGTAACAAATTGTGGAGATGGTGAGGATGGAGAGGAGAAGGGAGGGAAGACTCAAGGTGAGTGCACAAATAATTGTTTGGAAGTTCTGTGAACAATGGGGCCATTCACTAGGAAAGGACCTGAGTCTGCTGGGGGTGACTAGTTAAAAATTCCAGAAGGTAGATGTTTGTGTCCAGAGCTTAGAAACGAGATCAGAATGCAGATGAAGATTTATGAATTGAGCTTTAGCCCAGATACATAAAAAACAATGAAATAATAAAATGTATTGAATATAAAATAATACAGTAATGAAACAACTATGTAATCACGGAATAAAAAAAAACTGAAAAATAATGGAATCATGCATCATTTTTCTAGACGATCAATTTACATGGTGACAAAATATATCCAAACAACTCACTATGTTTTTAATTTATTGTGTTGCAATTAATAGGCTATACAAAAAATCCTAGATGGATATTTCTCTGTCTCTGTCTGATTCTACTCAGTGTAACAATCTCTAGCTCCATCCATAGTACAGGGAACTCTGCTTAATGTTATGTGACAGCCTGGATGGGAGGGGAGTTTTGGGGAGAATGGATACATACACATGGATGGCTGAGTCACTCTGCTATGCACCTGAAACTATCACAACATTATTCATCAAACATACTCCAATATAGAAAAAAAGTTTTTAAAAATCCTGGCTGGAGAGAGACCCTCAAGTCATCTTTTAGCATGTCCTGTACAATCAGGCACAGTCCCAAGCCCTGGACAGGCAGTCTCCTGCAGTCTCTGCCCTCATGGAGATGGCAGTTCCCCCAGCATCACAGTCATGAACACAGCCTACACGTTAAGTCAAAGGACAGCTAAAACTCAGACCAGTGCTAGAAGGGGTCTGTTTCAGAGGAGAAAGGAGGTCTCTCTGATGAAATGACAGGTGAACTGAACTCAGAAGCTTGAGTTTGATGCAGGGGAAGAAGAAAGACAACAAGTGTTTGAGAAAGACGGACCAGTCCCTGCAAGAGCCCTGGGAGGGAGGAGGGGGAAATCTAAGGTCATAGAAGAAGCAGGTGCGGCCCAAGTGGAGAGAATCAGGAGGACAAGCAGGTCAGGGGAGCTACCCTGGTGGCCGCCAAGGAGCATTTGTGGAGGAAGGCACCATCCGTTAACGTCTCATAGAGCTCACAAAATGCCTGCAAGAAAAATGAAAGTGTATTAAGCTTGGCTAATGAAATGAACTGGAGATTCTTTATGATAGAGAATGCCTTACTGAATTTGAACAAATTAACTCAATTTAAAATTAGTTAATCTCTTCATAGAAAATAGCACCGCAAAGTCCCTAAATTATACAGGAGTTCAATACATATTATTTGGATCTGAGTTGCTATTCCTAAGTCATCTCCCTCCCAACCCTGGATGATGTTTGCTAGTTTTGGCTGAATTCAGCCAACTTAGGAAAGCATGTAGGACATTCCCTGGCCTGCAAGCGCTGTCCTTGTTTGACAGCCTCCCCTTAACCGGGTGGCACGAGTGTGATGCTTTTTGCTGTACAGAGCAAGGTTATGGAAATTCAGGAAACTTAGGGAGGACACCACTTGACCACGCTGATGTGACAAAGCCCACGTCTTCATCCAGTTAAGGGCACTTATTCTAACCCAGGCTATCTCTCCTTGTAAAATAAAGCTCTTGCATTTAAAAAAAAAAAAAAAGTATTTTCAAGTAATTGGATTATCTTAAGTCCAGATTTTGTTTAACTCCACTGGAAATGCAAAGAGAGATTTGGAATTACATGTGAGATGTGAATTACTTACATCTGACTAAGTGGTTCTTTCTATGAATGAATGCACTTAATTAATTTTTCCCCTCACTTCTTGCTACTTTCTGATGATAATCTATTTTCTTTCATCACAGGGGCAATAGAAAAATAGTCAAAGAAGGATCCAGTGATTTGAAATTCCAGAACTTCGCTCTGCCGAAAAATAGGTCAGAATATTTCTTTGTTCATGAATAAAGGAGTAAAACTTTTGATGCTGTGGCAAACAAGCTGACCAGCATACACACACACACACACACACACACACACACACAACGTTAATGGAAAAGACGTACATTGCTCTCAGTGATCTTAGACGTTACAGGGAGACAAAGATCTAGAACAAGAACAGATTTGATGTAGGATGAACTTCCAGACTGCCAGCATGTATGTGATGCAGGTTTGCTTATGAAGGAGGGATGCAGTGGGAGGTTGGGGTTAGCAGATGTAAGCTATTATTTATAGGATGGATAGACAAGGTCCCACTGTACAGCACAAGGAAGTAGAGTGATAAACCATAATGGAAAAGAATATCAAAAAGAATTTTATTTTATATATATATATACATATATATATATGCACGTGTGTGTGATAAGTCACTTCAGTCGTGTCTGACTCTTTGCGACCCCATAGACTGTAGCCCACCAGACTCCTCTGTCCATGGGATTCTCCCGGCAAGAACACTGTAGTGGGTTGCCATGTCCTACTCCAGGGGATCTTCCCAACCCAGGGATCGAAACAGCATCTCTTATCTCTTCATTGGAATTCGAGTTCTTTACCACTAGCGCTACTTGGGAAGCCCCCTTTATGTATATAAGTATGTGTATGAGACCACAGCCAGGTCTCAGTTCATATATGAACTGAATCACTTTGTATACAGCAGTAATTTACAAACATTGTAATTCAACTATACTTGTATTAAAATAAAAAATCAAAGATTATGTGTAAAGTAAAACAGCTAATAAAAAAAATTTTTTCTTTAATTTAAAAATAGCACCGCACAGGCATCCATAGCGTTTCAGACCAGGGCTATTTCCACCACCCACCCGGGTCTCTAAACAGCCCAAGAGACAGCCTTTGAGGGGAAAGCTTGCATTCTTCAACTGCTGAATGACTTAAGTGATGAATCATGGGAGGATCCGGCCATGAGTTCACAGCCAGGTCTCAGAAGTGAGCAGACGAGAGGGAGCCATGTGCCCACTTGGTTTCTTTCCTTTCTCTTTCAATTGAGCGAAACATTTACGAGCAATTACGGCATTAGGACAGGCTCTTGAAAATGCTGAAACAAGAGGCAGAGTCCTGTCTCCAAGGGGCTCGAAGCCAAGTCTGAGAGCTCAGAAGGAGGTCCACTCAATGAAATGAGTGACAGGGACCAATCGTGAAGCCAGCTCTAGCTCTGCGTTGAGCAGGGTCTGACTCTGAGCAATGCCCCATTGCCCAGAAGGGTTGCAGGCCTGCCTGCCCCTAGCCAGAGCCCCTCACCAAGCCCTGCTGGAGCTGTCTCTATATCTAAAAGAACCCAAGGGTTTCCAGGTGTTATAGCAACACTTGCATCCCAGAGAACTTCAACTCAAGTCATCCTTCAAACATCCTTTCAGTTCCTACTAAGTGCCAGGCACCAGAAGCGTTCTTGGCATGCTAAGATGTGTTTGAAGTAATATTTTCCCTAAGCAGAGTGAATGCATGCCTATAAAACAGAATACTTGAAATATTTTCAAAGCTGCATTAAGCAAAGGAAAATTTGTGGCTGTTCTCAGACTTCTTTAGTGTTTACATTCAACACATTTGAATAATATCTTTTAAGTCGATATTTCTGATTTCTTGACAATAGCGAGAGATGGGAGATGGACGGGTTAGAAGTCTTCCTTCAAATGGAGATGGTTGCAGCAATTACATACCTCAAAGTAATATTTACAGTTACATTTGCAAAAGAGAGAGAGCAGTGCTTTTTTCTGAAGCAAATTATTTCAGGATGTGTCATAGCTTGCTCAAGATATATTAAAAAGAGCAACAGATGATGTTTCTGCAACCTGTTCCAAGCCATTTATAAACCCAAATTAAAAAGAAAAAAAAAAACTCCCATATACATACAAATCTTTGTACCACTGCATATTTTATAATGAAAGTATTATATGAATATAAATCAGTATCTGAGATCTATAAATCAAATCAAAATGTCTAAAATCTACATATTTGGATCTACCATCATACTTTCAGAACTAGTAAATGGATGCTTCCATTCTCCACTCAAATGATAATTATCAGCATCTGGTGATGATGCAGTAAGGGCAGTGCTACACATGGGCAGGACCACAGAACAGAATGGGTTCTGCTCCCTAGCTGAGTGACCTCACTCAAATAAGCCCATTTCCATTTCAATACCTTGCTTCTTTTAGAAATGGTACTTGGAAACAAGAGTAGACTGAATTAACTGGCAGTCAGGTGGTTAGAACTCCCACACTTTCACTGCTGAGGGCTCAGTTCAGTCCATGCTTGGGGAAATAAGATCCCACAAGCTGTGTGATGCAACATTAAAAAGAAAAGAAAAGAAAAGCAAGAGTGGACTGTCTTACCCACCGTCAATCCCCCAGATATAAGGTAGTGTTTGTGTTTGGGGAATAAATACCTGACCCCTGCAGCATGCCTGGAACATAGTAGGTTCTCAACAAATAACCAAGGCTAACAGTCACTGAGTGCTCACCACGGGCTATTTTAAGAGCTTATATGACGAGAAAGGTAAATATCATATGAAATTGCTTGTATGTGGAATCTAAAAAATTGGGACAAATGAACCTATTTATAAAACATAAGTCACAGATGTAGAAAACACAGTGATGGTTACCAAGGGGAAGGAGGGGGAGAAAAATTGGGAGGTTGGGGTTGACATATACACACTACTATATATAAATAGGGACTTCCCAGGTGGTGTTAGTGGTAAAGAACCTGCCTGCCGATGCAGGAGACCTAAGAGACCTGGGTTTGATCCCTGGGGTGGGAAGATGCCCTGGAGGAGGGCATGGCAACCCACTCCAGTATTCTTGCCTGGAGAATCCCATGGACAGAGGAGCCTGGCGGGCCGCAGTTCATAGGGTCTCAAAGGGTCGGACATGACTGAAACGACTTGGCAGGGCACGCATGGCACGTATATAAATAGATCGCTAATAAGGACTAATGTAGAGCACAGGGAAGTCCACTCAGGACTCTGTGATGGCCTATTAGGAGCAGAATCTTAAGAAGAGATTGGATGTATCTATGTGTATAACTGACTCAGTGGTGGTGGTTGGTGGTTTAGTCACTAAGTCGTATCCAACTCTGCAACCCCATAGTCTGCCAGGCCCCTCTGTCCATGGGATCCTCCAGGCAAGAATACTGGAATGGGTTGCCATTTCCTTCTCCAGGGGATCTTCCAGGCCCAGGGATCAAACCCAGGTCTCCTGCAAGGCAGGGAGACTCTTCACTGACAAAGCAATGAGTCCTTGCCAGTAACACTGGAAATCAACTATACTCCAATTTATAAAAACGAAAATGAAAACTCTCAGTAGGTAGTGTCTCACTGCACCCTCACAGTCACATTCTCATTAAGTTCCTTTTATAGGAGAAAAGAACACAGGCTGGAGACAGTGAATAGCTTCCCTGAGGCTGTGGTGTATAGCAAACAACAGGCCTGAGTATTACAAACATTACCAACCTCTGAAGCAACCGTGGCTCCGCATTGCTGACCTCATGACTGCCATCCTTCAGTTAGGTGTAGGGGTCAACTCTGGGGACAGGGGCCAAAGGGCTGTCCTCCCCCACCCACCCCAAACTCAAACATGCAGGGACCTCCTGGTAACATGCAAGGTAAAATACGAAGCTCGGTGCTGGGGTTTCACAAAGGTGATACTGCCTAGGAGACTATGCAAGGAAAACACAGGATCACATACCTGTCCATTACGCGTGACCTGTCCACAAGACTGAGATGAATGTTTTCTAGAACAGCCCATGGAATCTACCTGGCAGAGTCCTCAACACCCACCATGTCCCCATGTGGGCAGAAACAGAAGCATCGTCACTGATGTTTTCCAATGGAATCCAAACTTGAATCAATAACTGGATGCCTAACAAGTACCAGAAAATGAAGTCGTTCAGTCGTGTCCGACTCTTTGCGACCCCATGGACTGTAGCCCACCAGGCTCCTCCATCCATGGAATTTTCCAGGCAAGAGTACTGGTGTGGGTTGCCATTTCCTTCTCCAGGGGATCTTTCCAGCCCAGGGATAGAACCCAGGTCTCCCACATTATAGGCAAATGCTTTTACCATCTGAGCCATCAGGAAAGTCTCTACAACAAGTACCAGGCTCTCCATAAAAGAAAATCCAGCATTTAATCCTCTGAAGCAGGTATTGAGCTGGCCAAAAAGTTTGGGAAGATGTCATGGAAAAACCCCAATAAACTTTTTGACCAACCCACTGTGATCATTCCCATTTAACAGATGAGGAAAGAAAGCCTGAGAGAGGTGCCATATCTTGGTCACAGTCACAGAGCCGATAACTGGTAGGAGCTGGATTTGGATTCAGGATCTGACTTCAGATCCAGGGCCTGTTCTGGGTTCTAAGTTTTCCGTTCCTGTGAGTCTCAAACCTACACTTGTCAAGACTCCACTATGAAGAAGGAGCACATGTCCTGAGAAAGGACATCCACATCCACAATCATGAAGCCTCCAGCGGCAATTCTTGGAGCTGACATGTCCTGAGAAGGACATCTGCAATCATGAAGATTCCTAGCAGCTAGTCTTAGAACTCATCCCTGGACCAGCAGTATCAGCATATCTGGGAGCTGCTTGGAAGTGTAGGTCCTCAGCCCCACTACTGAATCAAACACTTGGGCTTTGGAGTCGGAGCACCTGGATTAAACAAGCCCCTCCCAGTGATGATGACTCCTGGGCATGTTTGAGAACCTCGGCGTCAAACATTGTTAGCAAGAATGCCAGCTTTGGAGCTGGAATAAGAGGCCTCTGGGCTCAGCCCTCTCAACTAGGTAAACGAGGTGGAAGGAAGAAGACATAAGACAGCGGTGCAGGAGGGTGGGATGGAAATAGGAGAGAACATTGTCCCCACCTGTGAGAGATCACTGCCTTGGGGACCAGAAAAATCAAAGATGAGGAAGACACAGCCCCTGCCATCAAGATGCTC